TTGCCAATTATTAAAAATTTAATTAACAAAACTATTATGATGTGTTGAATAATGTTTTCTAAAACTTTCAAACGAATTAAATGGAAGTTTACAAATTTTGCAATTGTATTTTGCAAAACAGCCATGTTTGGGCTCATGCTTATTGCGATTTCCAATTTCACTGAAAGTTTTAGGACAGAACGAACACTTGTAAGGTTTTTCTAGTGTATGCGTTCTAATGTGACGAGTAACTTCACTAGGTGATCTAAAAGATTTTTTGCAGTTTTCCCATGTGCAGTTATGTTTTGATGTGACAGTAGAAAGTTTTTTCTGTTTTTGAGCAGGAACGGGAGTTTTCAGTGAAAAAGTAGCATTTTGAGAAAAGTTGTTCAATGGTCCAAACGTGTTGTGTGTTCGAAGATGCACAGTCAACGAGTACTTTTTGAAATAGCGTTTGTTGCATAAATGACAATTGAATGTAGTTTCTGTTTTGATGTTTGCAAAATCTGCAGTTTCAACAGCATCATTTTGATTTTGATGCATTCGAAAATGAGATTGAAACTCTTTTTTATGTCCAAATGATTGAGGACAAATCCGACACTGATACGATTTTGTTTCACTGTTTTGAGCATGACAAACATGAGATTCTAAGTTTTGCTTTGCGTCAAATGATTTAAGGCATTGAGAACAAGTAAACGGTTGAGCGGTGGGTTTAACTTGAAGTGTTCCTAATCTTCTATTTTCCGTTTCATTAAGTTGATTTTTTCTGGCGTGCATTTTTTGATGATTATTAAGGTTTCCTTTTGTTTTAAAACGTCTGGAACACAGCTGACATCGAATAAGTTTTTCTTTTTTTCCTTTGTAAAAGTTGAAAACACGCTTTTTAGTAATGCCTCTTTTTCGGTGCAAAGTAGAAATTTCGGTGCGAATTCCAATGGCAGTTTGAGGTGCGATTTGTGATTTCACATTCTTTAGAAGAGATAAATCACTTGGCGATCCTATTGAAAAATTAAGTTAGTTTTTTAAAAATTTTAGCATTAAGAAACTTACCAGTAACTAATGTCGGTATAACATTTTGAGTGTTGTTTGTGTTACAATTTGTTCTGTGAACTTGATATTCTTTTGCCATAAAAGTATTTTTGCAAGTAGAACATTGATATGGTTTAATTGCATGAATGTTGAGGCGATGTCTGTTGAAATTAGCTTTTTGGTTGAACGATTTACCACAAGCAGAACACAAAAACGGTTTTTCTCCTGTGTGAATTCGACGATGATTATTAAGTTCTGTGTAAGAATGAAACATCTTTCTGCAGTATACACAGGAATATCTCCGTTTACTGTGTTGTTGTAAATGTTCATTCAGTTGAGATTCAGAGGTGAAAATTTGCAAGCAAAGGTAACACTGGCGATGTTCATCCGTAATGGAAGTTAAATTGTTTTCAGTTTGCAATTCAGCAAAATTTTCCTCGCTAGCCTGAACGTCACTTAACGCATGTTTAAGCATATGAGCCTCATGTGAAACTTTTCGGTTAAATGTGATCAAACAAATTGGACACTCATACTTTTGACTTGATGTCTGGTTTGGAGCAAGTGAGGACACAGAGAACTCATTGTTTTGATTGTGCGGCACGCATTGTGGTGGCTCCTTATTAACTCGGCGGTTTGGCAGTTCGACTGTTTCATTGCTGCCCACTTGCTGCTGATCTTCATAATGTTCATTTTCATTGTGATTGCCGTCTCTCTGAAATGATTCCAATGGCCGCTGTTGTTCGCCGTCAATTCCATCATTTGCTATGGGGTTTTGATCGTTCAGTACGCCAGATGAAATAACCTCCTTTTTGACAGAAATCTCCTCAACTTTAGGTTTAATTTCAGTTTGTTCACCCTCTTGCCTATTTTCTGGTAATTCATTCTCTTCATCCGAGTCAATGTATATTAAATTATCCTCTTCATTGTATGCGTCGTTGTTGCGATACTTGCAGTTTGCACAGTGACAAATTACGTCTTCATTGCAGCTGTCACAGCTTTCTCCGTCATTGATATTAATGAAAACGCGATCTTCTTCTTTATTTTCCTGTTTAACATTGACATCACCAGATGCTGGAGGCATTTTTAAGCTGAAACAAAAAAAATTAATTTAGTGCATTGAACAAAAAAATAGTTTGGCTATAAAATGGCTTAAAATTTGACAATAATTGCAAAAATATTTATTTACCAGAAATTAATTAACACTTTTCTGTTTTGAATAAAAGTTTACATGTACATTTTTGTAAAGAAAATTTTTATATAGAACCAAAGTAATCACATCATGTCTGTTGTGAGCGAGAAAATGTAGAGGACAATTACTTTGCACAGGCATACACTCTTTGTAAAAAAATAGCGCATCGAAACAGGCTACTCATAAACTGGCATTTAGCCTCAGTGGCGCTATTTTTCACTGCACAATACAGTGCTCGTGTTCAGTAAAACAAAAGGCTTCTCATTTAAAACAACTTTAAAAACATGCGCAGTTAAGACTGCCTATGTGTTGGCAACGGCAAAAAAATGTAAATAAAAGCGCTTTGAGCACTTGTGCCTGTTCATAAATCAAATGATTTGAATAATAACAATTCTTTGCATTTTTTCAACGTTTCACGCAAACCAATGATCAGTGGTCATGGAACAAAAACGGTAAAAACCTTAATAAAAGAACTTTTCTATTTAATTAACTTTTTCAATTTTTTTATAGAGTTAAAGTATTAAATAGTTGTTTCTAAAACTTCTAAGTTTTACAAAACTGCTTTCATTTGAGAGGGTATTTAAATGACAACTACAAACAAAGCAAAATTATTTTTTACCGTTAAGTTGTTGTAGTCGCCAATCTGCGGTGATGATGTTGCAGCGTTCAGTCGAAAATCCAAAATTAAATAATTGATAAAATGAAAGTTTTTAAAATGACGATGGAGCTGTTTTTTTGCAAAACGAAGAGTCTTCAATGACGTTGCTGTTAGCAACTGATTGTTGGAAATGAAGTAGGAATTGTAGAATGTTGGTTGATGTTAACAATAAAGCCACAATTTTGGATCAATTCAGCAAGTCAGTTAAAGTCATTCTGTGCTCGTGTGGAATGTCTAGACGAGTGCTGCGTCCTTGAAACTTGGACAATTCTGAAATGGTAATGTGACAAGTGTCGTCAGCTAATGGGTCTGCAACGGCAGTCTTACAAATGGCGTTTGGCCATGATGGGCAGTGATTCCCCCTACAATACTTGGCTGTTTTTCCCGTCTCAAGCATGGAACAGTCACTACTAGTCACCACAATGCATCGGGTAGACGGAAAGAGGATGAAGGCATGCTAGGTCGAAAAACGGCTCGAACTGACTAGTGTGCTATACACTTCTTCAATGTGTTCCTCATCCAAAGAGCGACGAGCTCGGTTTGTACGCTTCAGTTACCATTGAAGTTTCCAGTCGAGTGACATCCGCCCGTCCAGCTCTGCTGTTTAGTCAAAAAATGTTCCTTTATTTTTTTCTAATATATACTTTAGGGGTTTTATTTTCAAACTGGTATGAAAGAGTAATTTTTTAATATTACAGGTTTTTGCATGCTATATAATGGTTTTATTTTTCCTATTTCAAATAAACTAAATGAGTTGTAAATAACTTTGACTAACATGTTTTTTAATTAAAAACTTGTTTTTAATTTCCTTCTTTTTTACCTGACCACAAACAGATTAAGTGATTTTACTATACTCTGATTAACCTGACATTTTTATAACTCTACACTTCAAGTAAAAAACAAACTAAAATGTAAAATCAACATTTTAAATCTCTAATAGACACATAGAATCAACAGCAAAGAAAAGATTTAAGATATAAAATAAAACAAAAACAAAGCCAAACATTGACCAAATAGACCGTCTTCCCTTGTTCCGTTTTCCCCACTTTAGAATTGTGTTGACTAGTGGCTGTCATTGTTCCAGACAAAAGAGAAACTAGTGATGCATTAGGGCGATTTGTCAACGGAAGCAGAAATGCGAACGCAGAGAACCACTTGCTTGAGTGGTTTGCAGAACTAATTATTTAAAGTTGCTTGTCATTTTACCACACAAACATCGTCTAAATGATATTCCCCGGACATCTCAAACAAAGTTAAACACTGTACGTTGCCCATCCTAGTGGGAAACCTAACCGACCCTTCTTGTACACACCCAGTAGGCACAAACATAAAACACTTGTTCCAATGACGCAGATGCAAACTCTACTGAGCTTTCGAGGTTACTTTTGGCAGTGTAAATTTGCTTCTTTCCTACAACTTGGCGAAACGTTGCCCGCAGTGTAAAAGGGCATTATCAAAGCAGTGCTCGTGGCTTGCTCTGGCTAGTGAGTTTCTATGTCAGAAACGGCTGTGACGACTTTTGTTTGCAGGGGCTGCATCCGAGCCCAGATCAGGGCCGACTGTTTGTTTAGCACCATCTCACCCGGGCAGGCCTTGTTACAAAAAACCAAGTTACGAGTCTAGCGCAGTTCAGTGAACGCTCAAAGCGCTGAGAAAAGCAATCATCTCGGCTGTCGTACACTATATGTGTCGAGACACGATTGAACGTTCCCTTTCACACACACACACACTCACATAAAGGTTTGTGTTTACAAAAACGCACACACACAAAACACACCATTCTCGCCGAAAACACCCCATTGTGCCAGACTGCTTAAATCAGAAAAATTTAAATTAGATATCGACCCAAAAGCGGCGCAGCCTTTTCCATCAGGCACACTCGGCCGGAGGCAATTGCCTGCCTAGGCTTTGTTTGTTCAGCCGTACACAAAATGAGTTGTACCATTCTTAACAAAACGAGTCATTCGTTTTTGCTTTTCCCTTCTCTAATACACCCAGACAGTTTTTACAGTAAACTAGATTAATTCAAAACAAAAATAAATTATTTTATGAGTTCCAATAAATTCAAAAGCTTTTTAAGTTGTGCTTAACAAAATTTGACAGCATTTAAATTTTAAAAATCACCTTAATTGACATAAAGTTTTATTAACGTTTGCGGATTTGTAAAGGAAACGTTTTAGGTGACAATAAAGGTGATCCTTTTTGAAAAGTTAACTCTTCAGGCGTTTCATTTGCTTTTTCAAAACAGTATTTAGTTAAAACTCGAGCTGTCATCAGTTTCATTTCTTGAATGGCAAATCTCATGCCCACGCCTGCAAAAAAATAAAACAGATTAAATTACTTTGTTGTATATTAAGAAAAATAACAAGTCAAATTTTTTGTACAATTCCTGGGACCATCTCCGAAAGGCAAATAGGAATACGGAACAATAAGATGCTTGTTTTCTGGCAAAAAACGGTCTGGATCAAATTTTAATGGTTCTGGGAAATACTCGGGGTCATAATGAACAACCTAAACAAGTATAAAAATGTTTTTGTAAGTAAAACATGAAAACTGTTTTTATGAACTCACCCAGTTTGACACTTCTACCAACATGTCTTTTGGTAAGAGAACTCCGTTCAACTTGTATCCGTCAGTTCCGACACGGCGAAAAAGCACAGTAAACGGAGGATACATTCGTAATGTTTCCTTGATGGTAGCTTCTAAATACGGCAAATCATTAACAACTTTGTCATAATATTCAGTAGAGTGATTGTCGCTGATGTTTGCTGTGTTGGTAATGATTTCTTGATAGAGTTTTTCTTGAACTGTCGGGTTTTTGGCAAGAATATAAAGTAAATTTACAATAGAAGTTGCTGTTGTATCAAATCCAGCAACAAAGAATAAAAAGCATTGTGCAATAATTTCTGTGTCATTTAAAGTTTTAGACAAAGGTGTAGAAAGTTTTGACTCTTCAGGTGAATGTGAATCGCCTAACAAAACTCAAATTAAATTGTAATAAATACTTGTTTTAAAGCTTTACCCATTGTCAGTTTATTGTAGTCCAAATTGGCTAGTTGACTCTCGTCGATGGCAGAATCCAAGAGAAGTTGAACGAAATCATTACGTTTAACTTCACCTCTTTTCCGTTGTTTGACAATTTCTTGAGAAAGATTAATGAAAAAGTTAAACGGTGTCGGTGGGAAAAACGTTTTAACGTTGAGCAGTTGAATAAGGAATTTGGGAAAAACAAAACAAACTAATGCTCGAAGTCGATTAATGTCAAACAGTTTTTTGCCGTTTTGCACAAAGGGAGATTCAATTTTTCCGTTTGAATCAATGTCAGTTGCAAAAGAAGTTGAGGCGATGACATCGACTGTAAACCCGGAGATGGCATCCTTAAAGTCATTTATAGTCACAAATGAGTTCCCAATTAAAAGACTATCAAAGTAGAGTTCCAATTTGTCAATGCATTTGGTCATTAGAGGGTGCATTGCTCGCAGTTTTCCTGTAGTAAAAGCGGGCGATGTAACACTCCTAAAACATTAATTAAATTAATTAAAACGGTAAAATAAAGCAAGACAAAATTACTGTACCTAATTTTCTTCCACTTTTCGTCAAATGCGTTGAACATGTTTTCATTCCACATTTCATGGTAAAAGTTTAGCTTTTGCCTATTCATAAAATGTTTAGAGTCTTTGACGAGTATTTTTTTGATGAGTTCTGCGTCCGTCACTAGCAGTGTTGGCCTAGTGCCCTGGTAGTAGCCAATAAAACGGCCATACTTTTTTACCCAAACTGAATCGGTGTATGAGCGGTTCTGCTGAAGCACTTCAAAAGCATTGCCAAAAAGAAAAACTGGTGGTGGTCCGGGCACGCCAAGATTCTTCCAAAAGTTAAATTGTCGAGATATTTTCCTATTTCTTTAAATAAGCTTAAAAAGAACTTTATTGCTAAAAAAACTCACCAATAAAAAGCGAATAACAACAGTAACACTACTGTAAGTAATACTTTCCAATCTAATAATAAACTAAAACATGTCATTTTTCACAACTATTTAAAATGTTTTAACATTGAAAACAAAACTAAACAGCTCATAACTTTTAATCGTTTTTATATCAGCACTTTGTTGAATGGCCTTGATGCATAGAAGATAGTGTTGTTTATTTTTGGCAAATGTACTACCAAACTATTGACTGGTAATTGCATCATAGTTTAAACCTGTTTTGGCATACGTTTTGACAAATAAAGTAATTTTAAATAAAAAAGTTTTTTTTTAATTTTTATTGATTTGTTCATTTTATCAAAACCAAAATAACAAATTTTTCAAAAATTTTATTATTGAGATTGTCATTTTGATTTCATTTATCTTTGTCTAAGTCAATGATCTCGCAATTTTCACCATTACGGCTTTTTTTCTGCTTGCGAAGCAGCTTCAGTGTTTTTGTCAACAATGGTATTATTTTCAGACACAACTGCAGTAGCATCATTAGCTTTAGCGTTTACCTGCTCATTATCAGGCAAATTGTCAACATCCTCGTCATGAGACAAACCGCTAGAAGTCAGTTTGTTCAGGGATCTAGTGATAACGTCCTGGAAATTTGCTTCAAAATTAGACGACATGTTTTTGAAAGCGTCGTCGATCATTTTGTTCATTTCTTTCTTGACTTGTTTCTTCGCAATGTTTTTCTGTACTTGAAACTCTATCCACAACTCCAGAGAAATATGTTCTCTCAACTGATGAATTATATCCATCTTCAAAATTTAAAAAGTTTAAAGCAAAGATAGTTGGTGAAAATGGGTGAAGGAAAGGTTGGCAAGTCGTGTCAATCGTGGTCAGTTGCTGAAAGAGAAGTGAGGCACAAGAGAATCACAAAAGAAACACAGCAGCGTGCTCAGTGGCAGACTAGGCAGGACAATAGAACATGTGGGCCCTGGCCAAGGCTTGGCTCTTGCCTTTTTTTTTGTTTGAACAGTGCCCTTGTTAAACGACACTAGATGGCAACCCGATGAAAAGTTTTTGAGAAAATTTTAGCAATTTTTTGTTTAAAAATGCACTTTGAGTTACCTTCACTTTCACAAAAAATACACAAAACTGTATACTTGTTTTTTAAACTCATTTAAAAAGGAAATTTTTTACCACAAAAGCGAAATTTGTTTAAAAATAGCTATTTTCAAAATTAGTTTACTAATTTATTTTATAAGTTAAATACTGATTATTTTTAATTGTTTTCTTTGATACTTTCATTCTAAAAACTTTATTCAGTTAGATTTTACCCGGGTTTCAGACCTGGCACTTAGCAACAACTAACTGCAGATATTAAATGCCAACAAGTAAGCAAGTGTGTTGTTATTCGAGATCAGATTACCATTTTTTTTGTTGTTCACTCTGATTAAACTCTGTTGCCTCAACATTACCGTCACAGACTGCCTAGTAGTGTGTTGTTTTTCTTGGCATCACCGCATTGCAATCAGCAAAACAGTTGTTGATTTGTTCTCATTTTCTCTTCTTTCCCTCTCCCACACATGCACTTTGATTTCGTTTCTTTGCACACTTGACAACAACGCCAACAAGCAAGCATCCGAGTCAGCACATCTGGTACAGCAACCGTACATTTCCTCTTTCTTACTCTCTCTCTCTTTCTTTCTTTTTCTCTTTCTTATCATCTCGTCTTTAGTCTGGCTTTGCATTTGTTCGTTTCTACCTAAACTGCTGTGACTGTGACCCTGAAGTGAATCATACCAACCCAATCTGAAAATCAGTTTGTGTGTTTGTGAGTGTGTGTGTATGTTTGCCGACATGTCTAAAAGGATGTGCGTGTATTTGTGTATATGGTGTATATTAAAATAGCGTCTTGTTCTCTCCTTCTCTCTCTCCCTCTCATCCGTCTGAACATGTCAGCCAGCAAGCCAGCTTTCTTTACAGTCGATTAAATGTGCTAGCTAGCATGATTGCAGCTCAGATGGTAAGAAGATGTCTAGCTGGTGATAAACTTTTGACGTTTAGCTCGCTTAAGTATAATCAGTTTGTCTGAATAGTTGTACTCATTGTTTCGCTCTCTGTAGTGAAGTCTGGTGAAGCCTTTAGCTTGTCGGCTGAACCCTGCAAAGCAAACAAAATGGCCCCTCACCTGCAACTACCGTCCACCAAGTGTACTTACACCTTTCTCCTTCTTCTTTTCATCTGCTCTTTTTGCATCTTCTCTCTCTCATCAGCCAGCGTCCCGTTGAGCGACTTTTTCCCCTATGGAACGGCGGAAACGGGCGACGTCTCGATGGTGGCCGGCGAGCGGCGCGACGGCACCACCGACGACGGCAGCAGCGAGATGCAGCGGCTGGCGATTGCCTTTCCCTTCTTCAACTCCCTCCACGACGCCCTCTGGGTGAACATCAACGGCGTGCTCTCCTTCCGCGCGGTGATCGACAAGTTTACGCCCCTCTGCGGGGAGCGGCTGCCCCGCGACTACAGCATGGTGGCGCCCTTCTGGGCGGACGTCGACCTGTCGGTGGGCGGCCAGCCACCTGGAGACGTCTTCCACCGGGAAAGCTTCCAGCCGGCCGTCCTGGAGAAGGCCAACGCCGAGGTGGGCGCCGCCTTTCCCGAGCTGTCCTCTCTGCGGCTGAAGTGGGCCCTGGTGGCCACCTGGAGCAATGTGGCCTTCTTCGGGTGCTGCCAGGAGGGCTGCCGCCTGCGGAACACCTTCCAGGTGGTGCTCACCACTGACGGCGTGCGCTCCTTTGCCATTCTCAACTACCACAACATCACCTGGACGACGGGCACGTCGAGAAGCAGCGGCGGCGACTGCTTCACCGGCCAGGGCGACGTGCCGGCAAAGGCCGGTTTCGACGCCGGCGACGGCCACTCCTTCTACACCATTCCCGGCTCATGCCAGTCGGACATTAGCACGGTGGACAGTCGCTCCAATGTGGGCATTCCCGGCAAGTGGATTTTCCGCGTGGACAGCGCCGACATTCAGTCGGCGGGCTGCAGTGAACAGCAGCAGCAGGGCCATTCCTCACTGGCGCCCATCCGCCTGGTGCCCAGTTTCGTCGGCCTGTATGGGCACGTGCCGGTGAAGGTGGTCGGACCGTGCTTCAACACTAATACGAGCTCTACCAAAGTGAGCTGCCGCTTTCATGACCCGGTAAAGGGCGCCATCACAGTGCCGGGAGAGGGCATCGGAGGTGGCGCCGAGAAAAGCAGTCAGGCAGTTCAGTGTCTGGCGCCCTTCTTCTACGGCGGCGGACGCGTTCGCGTGGACCTGGTGGTGGAAAACGGGCAAAACGAGCTCAGCGAGTGGTCTTCCTTTCTCTACGTGCTCCCGCCCAACCTGGCCACCTCAGAGAAGCTGAACGTCACCGAGCGACGGCGTACTGACGACTCACTGGAACTGGAGTTCACCTGGAAGGTGAAGGACTTTTTTTCCAGTAACACCAGCTCTCTCCTCGACCTGAACGTACTGGAGCTGACGGCCAAACAGCCTGAGTGGGTGAAGATGGCCACACTGGCCAGTGGTGTGCCCAACGACGGCCACCTCAGCGTGAACATCGGCGACCGAGATGATCTGCACTTCTCGAGCAGCCACCTCAGCATGTACCTCTTTGCGCT